GTGTAGAGATGATGGATGGAGGATTCAGATTTTTTTCAAAAAATGTGGGATTATGAAACTTTTTTTTCTTAAAATGCCTAAAAAATTACTTTTGTAGACGAGTCAATCAGCTTCAAGTTTTGGTGAGTTCAGCATCTTTTTGGGTTTTTTTTAAAAGAACTCTTAGCAGCTTAAAAAACTGAAACAAAACATTTTTATGAGGATGCGTCAGTGGGTTTAGGTTTTATTGCAGGAGGATGTTGCTGTCCTCAGTAAGAGCCTGCTGGCTGTCCACGGAAACCAAATCACTCGTATTTAAATCAACATGAACACAAACTCTTCTGCTCATCCTGTGATGAATTTTATTATGTGTGGCGACTTTCCTCCTCTCATGGTCTGCAGTTGTTGTAAAACAGCTCCCCTACTGGCTGATTGGAGAACTGCTGCAGGAATTCTCCCAGTTTGTCCAGAGAGAGCTTCTCCACCCAGTTTTCCTCGGTGTTCCTCGCCGTGCCGGCGCCACTGTGGATGGGCTTGCCATTGTTGTCCACGCAGCAGTAGGCGTTCCACAGGTAGTCTGGGATGTTGACGCGTTTCACGTTGTTTTTGACGATCCAGTTGTCTGCGGAGGGAATAGCGCCGACCAGCACAAAGGCCTTGGAGCACTTGGCCCGGAAAAGGTCGGTGAGCTCGGACTCGTGGATCCTCCAGGAGTTCTGGTTCAGCTTGGGGTTCTGAGGGACCACGTTGGTCAGGGTGAAGGTGGCGTTGCGACTAGGAACTGCAGGAAGGAGGGAATAGAGAGTCGCTCTGAGTTACAAAAGAATAACGGTTACGGTTTGCAGATCAGTGGTGTGGAGGTGACACAGGATGATAGTGAATTATTAAATTATCACCCAGAAAACTGAGTGTGGGCTGCAGAGTGGCTCGGTGGTTAGCACTGTCGCCTCGCAGCTAGAAGGTCGTCGGTTCGCGTCCCGGTGAGGACACCCGGTTTCTGTGTGGAGTCTCCATGTTCTCCCCGTATCTAGTCCAGAAACATGCTGAGGTNACCACGTTGGTCAGGGTGAAGGTGGCGTTGCGACTAGGAACTGCAGGAAGGAGGGAATAGAGAGTCGCTCTGAGTTACAAAAGAATAACGGTTACAGTTTGCAGATCCAAAGACAAGTGGTGTGGAGCTGACACAGGATGATAGTGAATTATCAAATTATCATCCAGAAAACTGAGTGAGGGCTGCAGAGTGGCTCGGTGGTTAGCACTGTCGCCTCACAGCTAGAAGGTCGTCGGTTCGCGTCCCGGTGAGGACACCCGGGAATATGGAGTCACCTGTGAATTAATCATTGCTGGGGGAAAAAAAGTCTCCATGTTCTCCCCGTGTCCAGTCCAGAAACATGCTGAGGTTAATTGGTCCGTAGGTGTGAATGTGAGTGTGCTTGGTTGTCTGTCTCTAAGTGTAGCCCTGTGATAGGCTGGTTACCTGTCCAGGTGAACCTGCCTTCACCCCGAGTCAGCTGGGATAGACTCCAGCCCCCCTTGACCCTAGTGAGGATTCAGCGGTGTATAGATACCGGATGGATGGAAAACTGAATGATTTGTGTGATGTAAAATTGAAGAGAAGGTTGACAAAACAAAAAGAAAACCCACACAGGTGCAGAGAGGACATGCGACCTCCACCCAGACAGAAGCTTGTTGCTGTGAGGTGACTGTGCTCGCCACTGCTCCACCTCTCGTTAGGATCACCACAATGTTAAAGCCTCTGCTTGAGATCATCAAATATTTAGTGAAAGCAGAGTGATGGCAAAAATATTGATTTCACAATCATAAGTACATAATTGCTTGTAATTCTACGTCATGTGAAATAAGCATAATAAAAATAGACTTAACAATTTGTGATTAGGCTTCTGAAAATGTCATGCGATATTATTAATGCCGTACTCGTGATTTCAGACTGAGATTCCAGATATTTCTCTGGCTGTACCCTTGGAAGCAGCCTTAAGGTTGCCATGACAACACACATCTCAGATGGTCTCCTGACTCTCAGTTCAGCAGACTGTGGTCCGGAAATCATAAAGCGGTGATTTTTATGCTTTATTCTGCAGATTTATGTGAAGTTTCGTGGTTTAGATTCGACTTTCCCACACAGACATTGATGTCAGTTTCTCTTCATGTAGAAAAATGATCCCTGAGGCCGTGCTAGATCCATCTCCAAAGCCAATAAATTAACTCAACAGACTTGAATGTGACTTTGAGTGATAGTGGATAAAGCAACAGAGTCCCTTCCTGCGGTTTAGGTGCTGCAGTGACAGACTTGTATCGGAGTTCTCCAGTATTTTAGCGCCATCCTCTGTCTCCTCACTCAAACAACACCCACGTTCAGCCTGTGCTACCTGCATGGTGTCCGTTGGGGTTGAGGTGACCGCGGTCGAAGCCAGAGTGTGTAAAGTCCTCATTCAGAGCTTGTTTCTCTCCGAGATAGACTCCAGGGTGGTCCTTCCCCAGCCAGTAGCCATCCTTCATCTCTGCTTGCCAGGACATACTTACCAGCTAATGAGAAAAAGTGTAAAAGATGTCAACTCATGATGCAAATGGTGGATTTCTTACCACTCAAAATCTCTTGAAAGAACAGAAAGGGACCAACACAAGCCTTAGTGCTGTCAGTTCTTCATAGGTCCAGTCAAGCACCAACCTGAGGCTCCACGAACCACCTGCTCTCCCTGCCGCCTCCATTACTGGGCTGGAACTGATAGGCGGAGTAGACAGCAATGCGATGGTTGGTGTCGTACAGCGTGGCAAAGTGGAACCTGATGGTGCCAAAGATTAAGAACAGAGACTCAAAAGTGCTGCCATGGAAAACATAAACCACAGAATCATTTACTGCTAAAAAAAAAATACAAAGCTGTGACATTAGAGCAACAGTCAGATTTACTAGAACTGTATGTATGTAGCTGAATGTGGCGCACTCTGTGATCTCAGGTGTTGGCTCTGCCTGGTTCGTACCTGTTGACGAAGCGCTGACAGAGACGGACGGCTCCAGGTGTAGAAGCCCCCCACTCTGGCACCTTCTCGTTATAGAAGTATTTCACACATTCTGGCTCGTCCTGAAAAACAGCAACACAGACGAGACGACTAAGTGAACCTCTTGCACAACAAGTTTTTGAATGAACTGAAACAAGTGCACAAACCTCAAAGCGTTGCACAACGTCTGCCTGCACAGAGACGATGAGAAGAGCGCACAGCGTTGCCAAAGCCTGCATTTTGGACGAAACGTGTATCCGGGATTCTCAACAGCCCTCGAACAGGAAAAAAAAAAGAGCACTAAATAGAGTTTTCTCCAGCAAGGCGGTGTGAGGTATAACGCATGTAGGCCTGCTTTAACAGCTCACGTTGAAGGAGGATCGGTTTGTTTGCACCATCTGTGATTGTGTGTGTGTGTGTGTGTGTGTGTGTGTGTGTGTGTTTCCACTCACCTGCTGCTGCACCTGTCTGCTGCCACAGTCTGGCCCTGAACCGACGGGCTTTTATACGAGACCTCCGCTCACCACCTTTCACCCTGTTTGGCCTCTCCTTTTATCTGACCTCCTGTTAGGTAGCACATGACTTCATGAGTGGGATGGACCAGAATATGTGGTTTTCCACATCAGGTTTGAGTGACCAGGAGGGGGTGTGTACACAAGGGAGAGGGGACACACAAGATGCTAAAGTTAGCACCATGAAGTGTGAATACCGGTGGAATAGGTGACGAGATATCAGAGGCAAACGTTTGCGTAATTCTGCATTATTAGAAAGACTAAGATAAGATGTGATTGATCCTGAGGAGATCATTCAGAAGCTATGTAGCGTGGCAACAATACAATCACAATACAGTAATAGAACACATTATTCTGAAACCAGAATCCCCTTTGAATAAACATTCACTCTTGTCACATTAAATATATGTGGATGAGGTAAACTTTTGATGCCTGACAATATTCCTTTTCTGTTGTAATTCTGCTTTTATTTTTCATGCATTTCTTGCGTGATACGGTGTGAAATCAGGCACACGTTAAAGGCATAACGCTCTATTTTTAGCTACGGACCAATTCCTTGGAAACAAGATCTTTTACACAGTTACTGAAGGTCATGCAGGTGGCGGCAGCTTGTGGTGATGGTGGGAGGAGACACTGGAGAACGACTGTGGTGGTGAATTTCAGTGCACTGACCCTTTTAATGAGTTCTCATACCCTAAAAACACTCCAACACTTGCTGTTGACAGATTCACTAACAATCTCCCACAACTAGCTCTTGGTTGGGTAACACTGAGTTATCTGATCATGTGCTGCTTTTCTCACGATCCCGGTCCAGCCTCACATGTCCTCCCAGTTATCTAACCCACATTTGCACAACACAAAACTACACTGAATGTGAAAACCTACGAGAGAATTTGAGCTTAAACTTTTGTTGTGTTACAGGTCAGGAGTTCAGCTACGGGGCGGTGTTCCAGGTCTTCAGGAGATCTGCGTCCTGTGCGAGAAGATATCTGCAGAATGGAAGCTTTTTCTAACGCAGAATTCCCAGAATTTAAATATGACATGCA